GGGGAAAAAAAATGGGGGTGTGTAAAGGGTGTGTTTAAAAAAAAAAAAAAAAAAAGTTCCTGGGATGGGAAGGACCCTGTCCCGTGCGAGGGAGAGGGAGACCACAACAGGGGGCTGGAAGGAGCCCGAGGTCTCATTTTGCAGCCTGAAATGGGAGTCTGTGTTCGGTCACCAGCCTCTGAGAGCTGCTGCCAACTTTGTCTCTGCACTGTGGAGGTCTCCGTCTTCTCCCGGTCCCCCTTGCTTCCCAGCTGCCAGTCTCATGTCTGCTCTGCTGCAGCAACTGCTGGCACTGCCACCGCCCCCTCCTCCTTGGCAGGGGGCTCCATGTAGATCGGTGTCACTGACGAGGGCTTCTTGGACCTGCAGGTGAGGAGGCTGGATGGGAGCAGGTAGGGGTGGTGGTCTCCCTCAGGAACCCAACTCCCAACAGCCCTGCCTGCCTCCCTGGTACGATCACCTTCCCACCGGGACATCTTCCAGCCCTGGGCACATATCCTGTCCCCCCTCCCACCACAATGGTTCAGAAGAGGAGTGGTATGCCCCAGGACTGGGCTGGGACAGAAGTGGATGATGCAGTGCCCTGGGCAGGGGACAGCGCCATGAGGATCGGGGGTTGGATTACCCAGGTTGCTGTGCCGCCGATACTCACGAGTAGGGGGAGGCAGGGACCCCCACCACAAGGAAGTGGTTCTTCTTGCGGAAGAGCCGCCACAGCCCCTTGTGGTTCCCACGGACGTCCAGGTCCCAGATGTGGAGGCACTAGGATGGCGGGGAGGAAGGAAGAGGCATCAGAGCCTGGGGAAAGACATCAGGGCCAGGCGTCCCCTGGTGAGGGAAAAGCCACCATCTCTGCCCCTCACCAAGCCACAGCAGAGAGGCAACAGCACCTTGATCAGGGCAGCACAGGACAGCACCCCTCCAGCTACCATCAGTGAGAGAAGAGGGGGATCCCATTCCCGTCCCTGCCTCAGGACAGGGGGTTTGACCATCACCTCCATGCAAGTGATGGAATCACCCAGACAAGCTCAGACCCTGGGGTCCCACACAGGGAGATCATAAGGCTTATCTCCACTGAGCCAAGCATCTGCCCTGGGTGACCCAGTGCCTTCTGCAAACACCAAAAGCTTAAATACCACCCAAGGGCAGCAAGAATGCATTTGCTGAGCTGCACTCAAGGCCACAGACAAACCCAGGAACAACAGCCAGATGTTTCCCAGCAATGCTGAGATAGTGCAGGGGTGAGGATGGGCCATGTCAGGGGCCTCACCTTGGCAAGCTGAGTCCAGGTGGTGAAATCTGCTTCCTGCTCCATCCTGATGAACATGACGTAGACCCTGCCCTCAGTGTCAGGCACAAAGGAGTCCTCACAGGGGTTCTTACTGTGGTCCAAGACCTCAGCCTCACTGTGGAAACAGAACAGGGAGTGAGCGGGGACCTCACCTTCTCCCTGTTCCCACTGCAGGGTACTTCAGAGAGGCAAGTGGTGACTGGAGCTGCCAGGGCCACCTCCACCCTTTCTTCTGTCCTGCTTGGTTCACCCAGTGATCCTCACCGTCTCCCAGCCTCCCTGCAGGCACTTACCCCAGGAGCCGATGAATTTCAGTCTCGTAGGCATCCTTCCTCAAGCTGTTGGAGGAGGAGAGAGCACAGAGATCAGGGCAGAGCCAGACAGTTTGATAAGCAGGGATCATCCCACGATGATCCAAACTTAAGACTGCCCCCTTGTAATAGAAAAAGGCAGGTTGGCAGCCAATGAATGGAGAGCAAGGACTGCCACTTATCCTGAAGGATGTGGCACCAAACACGTGACTCTTCAACATGCCCACCAGGAGCACAGGGTAGCTGAACCCAACCTCACAAAAACCACTGCAAGGACTCCCCAGCGGAGGCCAGTGTGCTGGGGCTGGAGGTTATGGCTGTTGTTCCAGAGGGAAGGGAGATGCCCCCCAGCACAAGGGGACAAGGGTCAGGGTCAAGCAACTGTTTCATCCAAATCTCATTCTGACCAGCACTCACCTCTCCACATTTTTAAGCTGGACATTCGGAACTGTGTTGAACTTGTGCTTCTTGAAATAGGCTTCCTGGGAGGAAGAGAGACAGAAGGGAAGGAAAACGAGATTCAGCCATGAGTCAGCAGCACCTGGAGGTCACCTCAAGCATCCCCACTACCTGGAAAGGTGGCTGAGTCAGAGCTCAGCACCCCGATGGGGCGTGGGGGCTGAGGGAGGTCACTCACGTGAAAATAGCCGTTCATGTTGAGTCCCACGATGCCGAAGTGGTAGGAGCGCGAGATGTCAGGGATGATGCACTCCCGGCCCTTCCGCTGCTCGGGCATCCGCATCCACATGTCCCAGTCCCAGAGCTGGGGACGGGAAACTGCCACTCACACTCAAGTTTGGGGACATCATTTGGTAGTGTGGCCATTCAGGGACCTTTCTGGCTGCCCACCACCTCTAGCCCCTTTGGCCCCAGCCTGCCTGGGCTGTTCCAGCCAGCTCTGTGGCTGGTTATGTGGTTCTCAAGTTACTGTATGTCCCAAATCCATTCTGCTTGGGCATGCTTCCCAGTGGAAGCTCAGGGAGAGCCAAGGCCCCTCCAAGAGCTGTACCCACACGGACTGGGTGATGATCAGGGACTGCCGATGGGCAGAGATGGGGGTGCAGAAGACAGGGTCCCACTAGGGTACTCACCTTCTCAGGGGTTGGCCACTTTGGCTCCAGCTCATCCTTGTACAGGCTCTTCCGGAGCACCCAGCCCAGGCCTGGCATGGTCTCCACGCGGTACAGGAGCGAGGGGTCCTCAGCTGTGTGCTCATAGCCCTGTGACGTTAAGGGGAGCATTCAGCACCCTGAATGAACCCCTACCCTGCCAAAATAGAAGGCATCTTGCTCCATTGAGACTCCCAGCATGGGGAGCCGGGGACAGCCACTGGGAAGCGCATGGCAGGGACAGGATGGTGATTTGCAGGGGCACTTCTGAACAGTTCAGAGCTGAGGAGACAGACCCACCTAGGGTGAAGGTGGGGGGACACCCCGCTTTACAGACAGAACTTGGACCCCAGCCTGACATGGGAACAACACAGGGCAGAGGTGTCCCTACTCCACTGTCCTCCCTGACCCACCTGGTCATTCCAAGCCGAGATGCAGTACAGGCTCTCGTCCTCCTCCAAAAGGTGTATTGACTGGCTCAGAAAGCTGAGGAAAGAGTTGTCCAGTCCCTGGTCAAACATCCTTCCCCCAGGCAAACCAAGGCAAATTTTCCACAAAGCGACAAGCCACTGCCAACTGCTGGGACTGTCTAACCCATCTCTTGGGCTGAGATGGCCGATGTTGGTGTGAGATCAGGGGAGGAGCACCCAAACAAGCTAAGCTGCATCTCACCATGGGGAGGGGACAATATTGTCTCCTGCTCCCTCAAAGTCCCTCCTCCTTATGAAAGAACTGGAGCCCTGGTAGATGCTGGCCCTGTCCTCTTGCCACGGGGCAGTTCTAACCGTGTGTGTACAGAATGGATCAGTGTTCCCAGAAAGCAAACCAGGAAGAGATCCCAGACCTCAAAGTTGAGTGCATTGAGTGCCAGGACAGTGGACTCAAGACTCTCTGCAGGCAGAGCTCAGTTATGGCTGTTGCCTGGGGACTGTTCAGCCTCAGGTAAAGTGAGCTACCGCATGGCAGGGATCTGGCCTCACCTGAGCAGCCAGGGAGCTTCTAGGAAATGCCCCACCCAAACAGGAGCTCAGGGACCCACAGCTTTACCTGAAGAAGTCAACAGAAATGTCAAGGTCTTCCTCCAGAACCACGGCAAATTTAGCATCCTGTAGGGCAAGGAAAGATGTCAGAAGGATAGGACCAGGACAGAGCAGAGACACTAAGCAGCATCCCCTGCCCCACAGGAGCAATAGCAGCTCCCATGAGGTGGGGGTCATACATGCCACTCTCCCAGGGAAACCCTGCGCTGTCTTGCTACCACAGGCGAGCAGCTAGACAGGGTGCAGGCAGAGGTCTCACTCACCGGGAACAGGTTGAAGGTTGCAGTCAGACTGGCTTTGTAGTGCTACAAGAAAAGGCAGATTGTTGCCTGGGTTAGCATCAACCCCTGGACCACAGGGAGGGGTAGCTTGGCACAGATGTGAGGCTAAGCCTGCCTCCCTTGAATGCTATCCCAGGTCCCAGGAAATAACTCTTCCAGGACTTGGGAAAGGTCTCTCACCTGGGAAACTCTGGCATTTTTAATGCTGATGGGAGTATGCTGGATTCCTGAGAGGCCAAACAGCTCCACGACATCCATCGGCTCCTGCAATGGAAAGGTACAAAGCTCATCAAATGTGTGGGTCTGGATACATTCTCCCCACCCTCTGACAGTGTCAAGCTCCCTGGGACAACAAGAATAACTGTGGGTTCCCCTGCATGTGGCTGTCCTCTTGGAGGCAAGTGAGGCTCAAAATAATGCTGTGGTGTAGACCCCACAGCAAGGAACTTGCCAAACCCTCTTGGCCCTTCAGCCCTTAAGTATTGCCATAAGTTTCTGTTAGCCCTGCTAGTTTGTAGATCCAAAGTTGTATCCAAGAATATCTGAGAAGCCCAAATCCCCAGTTGCCCGTGGACAGTGCAGAAAGAAAACAAGTATAGCCAGGAACACCCAGCAGCTGCTTAATGTTGAGACCACAATCGACTTCATTTTCTCTCACAGTTGCCAAGAGACCTCTCTGACCAAGCACATCCACGCTGGGGTCAGAAGTAACCCACATTCAGGCTGACATATCTCTGCCCCAAGGCGGCCCCACCAAGGCCTTCTCCATCCCCTTACTGTCCATCCCACCTCCTAGCCACAAAAGAGAGAAAGAGCTCCCATTGCACCAGCTGTTCCCCCTTTCCCTGGTATCCACCATGGCAGCACAAGGAGCATCCAGGCTGCCCCCTCATAGCTGAGGGATGCCACTCCAGTTGCCATGGCAATGGATGCTGCTATCTTTAACCACTCTGATGTGCTGCAGTAAGAGCCTGCATAAACAAACCAGCTCCCCCAGCCCCACAACCTGGTAGTGGTGGGAGAGGCCTGCAAGGGAATGAGCCTGTTCCCTTCCCACCTCCATCACAAGGCAACCAGACAACAGCTCATGTGCTGCTGCAGAGATGAGGGCTAGAAAGCTCCTGAGACCTACTAGGATGCCAAAGGCCTGTCCCAAAGCACATCCCACTGCCAGAGAGCCAGGGCTTGCAGTGGGATCTTCTAGGGCTTTATAAGGTTTTGCTGATGGGAAGGTCTTTGCCCTCTAAAGGACCAGCTCTCCTCTACCTGGCCACAGCTTTCATGAGTCTTGTGAAAACAGATCGTTTTGGGTCTCTTCACCTCTTACTGAGAGTGGAGCTGGAGAAGCACAGCTGGACTGGTTCACTCTGCTTCATGCAAGGGAGCTGGACAGGTGGTGTTACACCCAGGCTGGCAATACTCATCAAACAAGAAAGGGGGATGGGTAGAGCCCAGCCTGACCACCTCATTCCTGCACACCAGTCTCTTTCGGACACAGGGATGTAAAATTTGGGCTTTGGGAGAGGCCAAGGCAGCTTTACCTTGCACGCATGGCTTGGCTAAGCTGACTGACAGCATAGGAGCAGGTGAGGAGCAGTGTGACCCATCTCAGGAGGAAGGGTGAAGGGGCTTACAGCCTGCTGCCCACCAAGGACTGGGCCAGCACCACATACTCTCAGCTGGGGGACCAAGGACCTGGCTACAGGGACCTCTGGGAGCACTCTCACCTCGTAGTACCCATCGATGAAGACTGTGATCATCTGTGGATTGACGCCCTGAGCCGACAGCAAGGAGCGCAGCATCCTAGGGAGAGATTGAGGGGCCTGAGCACACAGCCACAGCGGGCTCAGGCTGCTCAGCAGAGGTGTATGGATCCCTTGGGGTGGGGGAAGGGTATGTGGTAAGGGAACAGGGCCTACTGCCCTTGGGCTCTTCCCTTTCCCATGGCCAAGGACCCTGGGATTTGTCCAAGCAGGTCTGCCCACGTTGCTCATGCAACCCCAGGAGGAGGCTGGATCCTGCCAGCAGGATGAAGGGGAGGGTCTGGGCCAGGTCTGGTCTTGTGGCACACAGCAGAGAAGCCATGTCCCCTGGAAGTGCTTACCTGTACAGGTAGTTGGGGCGGTTCCCTGCAATAACAGCTACAGGCACATCGAAGACTTTATTGTCCTTGAGCTGGGAGAGAAAAATGTGTGTGAGTGGGGCTGGGAGAGGCCATGCCAACCTAAATGATTCTATGATTCTGTGCCACAGAGAGCAGGATCCAACGGGTAGGGATCAGCCCTGCTGTTAAACAGCAGAGCTGCATAGTCCTACCCCTTGGCTCAGGACCACATGGACTCCATGCAGCACTGCTGGAGACCCTGCCAGCTTTCCCCTTTCACCCCACCTCAGACCCAGCTCCCAAATTCCAACTTGCATCCACCCGGAGACCTTTGTCCAAACCCTTCAGCACTGTGCCAAGGACAGCCCAAAGGCCATGATAACTGCTCCGTCTCCAAATGTACAGGCTCTGCTGCTTACACTCATGTCTCTAGAGCCATGGTAACCTGGCAGCTCAGGGCAGACAGAGGGCAAGGGAACTCTCCTTCCCCAGCATGATCTGACCACAGATATTCACCTTACCTTTGCTGGGGTTAAGAGCTTGCCCAGAGGCAGTTTTCACCACTCAGCTGGAGTTTAATGACAGGGCTCTGCACCTGAGCTGCAAACACACCTGGTCCAGCCCAGCCCTCCCTCCTAGAGCCTTCCCTGAATACTCTGCTCCTGCACTCACAGGATCGGGGTTGAACTCAATAGGCGTGGGGTCTTTGCAGCTGCAGACACTGCCATAACCTTCTACTTTGCTGCAGAACCTCTTCCGGCGGCGGTTCAACTCTGTGTCAGGCCAATGGCACTCAGCATCTGGAGGCACCAAGGAGAAAAAAAGACTGCTCATCCCCACGGCCTCACCTTGTGTGCTCCAGGCTGCACTGCCACATGGACAGCTCTCCCTGGGCTCAGTGATCACCAAGCCAGTCCTTATTACTATGAACAAGCAACACTTCTGGATGCCACATATAACCACAGGAGCCATTCAGAAGCCATCCCCACCATATGGCCTCTCTGAGCAGCAGTGGGCCATGTTCAAGGCCAACAGCCAGAAAAGACTGGACCAGGTCTGGTTTGGAGAGGTGACAAATGGCCAGACCACATCCCCACTTGCCCATCCTCACCTCTCTCAACAACCTTGCCTGGAACTGCCATGGAAGCAGGAAGAAGGGAAGCTGGCCCTATTTTAAGAGTTACCATCCCCATCTCAAACAGCCTTAAATCCATCCTGGGATGTTGCCAACAGACCCACAGCTTTGACTCAAAAACACCAAGACCAGCAGGCAGACATGTCCCAGAGATACCCAGCACCGCAGAGCGGGTCTTACTTCCTACCTTCCACAGATGTCAGATGAACTTCAGTCTTCAGCAGTACAGGGTCACCCCACGTCGAGAGGGCGGGCGACTTGGCGTGCTTCTCGCCATATACTTCCCCTGGAGCAGGGACACAGGGTCAGGACTGTCTGGAAGGGCCCATCCCCACTGTGTCAAGGCGCTGTAGGCTCAGGGTGGCAGCTTGGCACTGTTTCCCCACTGGCCTCTGGCGAGCTGCTGAAGGGACATGCTCTGGCTCCATCCCCTCCCTCACCCCGAGGAACAGAGTTGCCTGCTCTCTCTGGCTTGTTCCCTGCTCATACAGTGTGTTGGAGATGGGCTGGGTTTGTCTTCACCTGACTTCTCCCCCAAAAAAGGGGCCATGAACCCTCTCCTGGCCTGTGCTAGACTCACCTCCCTTCTTCCCCACAAATGTCCACATGTCTCTCCAGCTCAGGAATGGTGCAACTTGGCTTCCCAGGCTTTTCAGGACATTCTTGGCTGTGTCCTTGAGGTGAAAGGAGCCTTCATCCTGGAACAAAACACAACCCTGCAGCTGAGGTCTGGCTCCCGATGTAGACAAGGAAAGTCTCCTGTCAATACCAAAGAGGTACAGCGCTCACTCCTACCCTTGAATCAGCTGAGCCAGACACCTTCAAGAGCAGGTTCCTATGGTCTCTGTGCCACTAGACCTGTCGTTGGCTTCACCATTACCCACAGGGAGGTCAGAGGAGTCACAGACTCCTGTTTCCTCAAGACCAAATTGTTCTCAAGCAGGGCCACGTGTTCAGCAACACTTCACACAGCTAAACCCAAAACCTTGAAGAAACACAGTGCTGCTCACACAGTAGCCCAGAGCCAATACAGTCCACAGTGTCCCCTCTAAAGCCTGGAACTGGGACCCAGAAGGGTCCCACCACATCCTTATATTTCCTCATGTCCATTCTCCACCTAACCTCTTGTTTATTGCTGCAGGCTCCGGCACATTTGCTTTTTGCTCTCCTGCCTTGCTGGGCACACAGCAGTATCTGTAGTAACAAGGGGGAGCAAGAGGACAAGGGAGGCGATCCAGCCAGGGAGGCGTAGCCCAGTGGGGATGTGACATTTAGCCCTGGGAATGCCTGATGACATTCAGAAGGCAACCACCCAGACAAACTTTAGGGCGTCCTGACTCGAGGCGACTCTTTCTTTTGATTCTAAGGTCACATACCTTAATGGTGAAGATCAGGATTCGGCCCCGGGCAACCATGTTGAGGAAAAGTACCATGGCTTCATCTTCATGGGGAGAATAGGTGTCAAAGACCCTCTTGGCCATCACATGACCCTGTTGGTATTCAAACGTCAGATGCCTCTTAAATGCTATACAGCCAGGACACGTAGAATTATGGAAATCTGACCTGGAAGCCTCAGTCCCTGAACAACATGATGAGTTACTTTTCTGGTATGCCAGGGAGTTAGTCCCCAGGCAAATTCAGCCCTTGGGCCTTCACGCACGACATGAAGTGCATTGAGGTCCATGGGACAGCATTACCCAACCTCACAACTCCTCTCCTGCCTGCTCCCCAAGGACAGCTAGGCAAGCACAAAAGAAACACTGCAGGGACCCTCTAGGAGACCATGCCATGCTCTGGAAACTACAAGCAAATAAACATTTGGGGACTTCTCTCCTGGCTGCCCTTTGCCTCATGCACCCAACAGTTAAAGAGCAAGGACGAACACCGCCCAGTAAGACAGACAAATGCAGACACACAGGGATGCTTTACCGTAGCCTGATTTAAGACGATGACGTGGATCCCTCTTCCCTGCTCCCGAGCCTCATCTTCCAGAACCTGCAAGTGGAGAAGCGATGAGAACCACACGCCAAGACCTCTTATTCCCTGCCTGTTCAGCACAGCAGAGCCCCCAAATAAGGGGCAAGTCTCTCTCCTATGACATCTGGCTTTGCTCATGGCAGTTATGGATGCAAGAGTAGAAGACAACATGGGACAACACCTCCACAGTCCTGTAGGCAGGAGGGCGATCCACTTCTTGCCAGCCACCGAAGTGCTCTCACCACCCGCTGCTTGAGGCTTCACCCGTTCAGCTCCACCCATCCTCTGCTCACAGGGACAGCCAGCCCCCGTCACTTACTGTTGTCCCATCCACAGCCACATAGACCTTCGACCGGCTGGAGTACACCTCAACATCCAAGACCTTCTTGTTGCTGACAGGGTGCCTAGGGACCTCCACATTCAGCATCTCGTCATCTACAGGGGAGAAATGCCCAGTCTCAACCAGCCAAGGCACCTCTGGCTTGTCCCTGGTTGATGCTATCCCAGCCAAGCCTCCAGAAGGTCATGCCCACCAGGTATCCCAGCCCAACAAGCCATTGGTCAGAATCTACAGAGATGGCAGGTAAGGGAAATCCAAAATGGCAACAGGTCTGGCCCCAGCTATCCCCACACAGACCTCTGCAGCCAAACATGCTGACGCCTTGAGTAGACAGACCAGGAATGGGAACAGCCTTTTCTATTCATTTTTGTTAAACCCACATGCACAGACCTGTCTTTTGTGCTGTAGCTGGTCACAAATTTGCCCTGACTTAAAGAAATTCCTTCCCTCCCTCCAGTTTCCTTGCTTGCAAAGAAAAGCAAGATGCTGCCCCTCACCGTAGTCCTGTGCAGACTCCTCTTCCTCCTCATAAGCAGCTTTCCTGGTGTCCAAGATCAGCTTGATGTTCACAATTACAGTCACAAGCAGGAAGAGGACAGCACCCGTCTGCAAGGCAGGATGCTTTGCATTAGCAACTTGTAAGTAACAACCCCAAGATCAGGCCACCTCCTTGGCAAAGGCTGCAGGGCGCCCCAAGGAAATCCTGCAAGGAATCATAAGCATCTGTTCTTTCCCCAGCTTTCTTCTGGGGGAAGGCAAAGAGAAAGAAATACAGATGACTGAGTTTTAGGGTGCAGCGCTTTCATCAGCCGGAGCGCGCTGACTTCCCGATATGTGAGAATTAACCCACTTCCAACATATCCCTGCTTGCAGATCTGCGAGCAGATTCCTGCTAAAATACTGCATCAAGGTTGAGGGTCTCTGCATGAAAAGAGTTTGGCAATTCAGAGTTACAGCTCCCACGGTAACCTTAACTTCTGCCTCTCCTGCAGCATCACCGTTCTCGTCTCTCCCTCTGCAACCAGAGGACGTATTCAGGGTATTCAGAGGGAGAGAAGATGCTGTGCGACTGCAGCAAGGCAAAGGGTAGAAGCCCAGGTCTGACTTCAGGAAACCGCACTGTACCACAGGCTGCAGAGAACAGCCTGCAGCCTTACTGACTGCAGCACACTTCAAGGCAACCTGCATGGATGCTGACAGAGGGCTATGGGAAGATCCAGGGGCTATGGAGGAGTCCATGGGAACCCCCGATGTGAGCATCACCATTGCCCATGGCCTTGCTCTTAGACTAAGAGAAGGGAGAAAAGACTACAACATTTCTACAAGCACCTGTATTCAGTTAAATGCATCTTGCTCCTCTCTTCCTCAATTTCAGTCTTTTTCCTGGCATTTGGACCCAGCGTAAAGCAGAAACTACTCCACGCTAAAAGGGGCCTTTTCTGAGACAGAGTCACACAGAAGACTTGGACCACAAACATCCCATGTTGGGAAATAACCCACCTGCAGGTGTAAGCTGCAAAAGCACACCTGACCACGGCCAAGAGGATGGTCTTAGAGCTGCAATGCTGGCCTGGGATGCAGGACTGAAACACAAGACTGCAGCTGAAGCAATTTGTCTTTATTTGACCCAGGGAGCTTTGTAACCCAGGGCCCATGTGCTTCTTCATGGTGGAAAGGTGACAGCAGCATGTGGTGGCTGTGGGGCTCTGCACATGGACAAAGTCCCTGCCTGGTAGCTACAGCCCTGCCCCAGGGCTGAGGAACAGCTCTAGCAGGAAGCCCAAAAGCTGCCCTGGACAGTCACGCAGTGAGGGAAGGCTTTGTCGTTGGATTTAAGACACAAAGCCAAGCCCTGAGCAGCTATTACCCCCAAAGCTAACACCACTGCAGGGCTCCACTACCAGCCTCCATGCCATGAGGGTCCGTCCAGCTCACAGCAGAGCCACCACAGAGGCCCAAATCTGACTGCTGTGTGCTGCTGACAGATGCATCCCATGGCCCAAAAGCTCTGTCCCCTTGGCCCAGCCATGCTTTGGATGTACCAGATGGTTTCCCGTTTCAGCCACGCAAGCTCAGGGTCCTACTAACCTCCCCGGAGCATCCCAAGACTCAGCATGGAGATGTCACAGCAACCAAGGGAGAGGAGGGAAGAGTTTGGTGGAGGCTACTGATAGCCTGGTCCCCCCAAAAGAGGATGCTGAGACAGGTCTTGGGTGATTCTGAGACTCTTCCCTCGCCCCTCAACCCCCCAACAGCTTTCTTCCTAAAAATCGGTGCCTTTTTCAGCTCTAGGACCCTCGATTCTCTGAGGTCTGGTATGGGGTTGAGATCACACACAGGCCTGGCCTTGGTGAGAGGCACTAAAAGGATCCCTGTCCTACCCGGCCAGCTACTGCCTCAAAGCTACGAGTTGCTGCTGTCTCTGCCAAGCAGCCAAACGGGTTCGAGAAGTAACAGAGGAAGATGGGCAACTAGCAGTAAGACCACATGATAATATAAGCGTCACTATTGCATCTTGGCTTGGTGATTTCCTGTCGATGCAGGAGTATGAGCACCTTTTGGGATCTGTGCAGAGAAAGCTTTTAATTAGGCAAGAACAGAGCCTTGGGCTTGTGGCAAGGGGCAGGCTGTGCCTCGCGGCCAGCAGCAAGGCCACCTTACTAACCTGCCGAGGCCTTCCACCCTGGTCAGTACTGGAGACATGGGGGAGCAGCCCCAGTGATGAGAGTGAACAAGGCAGCACCAAGGAAGACCAGCAGTCAGGTCTAGCAAGGCTGGCTCAGCCAGAGCTGCTGATAGAGGCCCAGCTGCTCTATGCTACTCCATACCTGCAGCTCTGGTTGACATATTTTAAGCCCAGTTTTCATCTGTGTTTTAAGCCACAGCAGTGCCATGAAGGACAGATGACAGCAGACAGGCTCTAGCCTGTTGCCCCCAGTGTGATGAGCAACGCCCGCCTGAATGACCAGGCCCGTTCCCAAGCCCCATGTACCCCAGGGCAAGATGCAAGACTGAGCAGTCTCCTTCCCCAGGCAGCCCTGCGAGCCTTCATCCTCGCAGGCACACACAAAACCCTCCCCTGCTCCCTCCCACAGAAACCAACTGCCAGATTTCACTGAGCTCTGCTCATCTCAGGAACAGCCCCTTTTCTGCACGGGGGGCCAAACCCTCCCTGTCCTTACGCCCCCAGACACCCCCCAGGACACTGGCTCCGCTGAGGATTAGCCATTCTACAGCACAAGCGACCAAGCCTGTGGCTTTCCCAGACACCAGCTGCCTCTGAGGCATAAGATGCCATTACCCAGCCCTATTTTCTCTGTCCACCTGTTGTGTATTATACCAGGCTTGGTTTGCAAACCAAATGGGGCAGGGATGGTTTCCCACTGCAGGCAGAGCCCTGCTACACTCGGCATGGGTCTGGAACCAGGAGGGGACTAATCGGTCAGGTTTCTAGCTGAAAGCCTCCCAAGGATGCCTGGATAATTGTATCTCCTGCCATAGCCACCCAACAGGTCCATTTACAGCTGGAAGGAGCTGCTAGACATGGCAGACCCTTCCACGCATGAGGGCAAAGCCACTGGAGGTAGCTTTTAGGGGGACACGTTATGCTTCCCCAGCACGTTAGGTCACCCAGGACTGCCAGCAGACCCACCTCCGCCCATGCAGCTGCTCCATAAGCTCGTAAACCCTATAGATTATCCTCCCTAATCCACCACAGGCCTGCGGGTGACTCACCTGGCACAGCTTCCGCAGCGCGCGCTGGTTCATCAGCTTGTACTTCCAGGCAAGGTACCAGCTCCGCTTCTTGTGGGGCTTGATGGCAGGGTTGGGTTTCCACTCGTCCATAGTCACGAGGGCCGGCACAAAGGCAGCTGCGTGAGGCAGGGGTCAGGACGCGCTCTGCTCCGCTCTCGTGTCCATCGGGGCTCCCTGCCAGGATGGGACGGGCGCGGGGTGAGGGAGGCGAGTGCCTTCAAACCCTCTCCCCAGCAAAGACAGAGCCTGGCACAAGCAGTGGCCATGAGTGGCACTCATATACCACAAGCAGAAGCCCCATGGAGCCTCCCTGCCTGCCACCACCCCCAGCCAGCAATCCAGGAGGCCAGGCTTTGCTGGAGGACTGTAAGCAGGGTGATGGGAAGCCCTTGAACCCATGGGCCAGTGAGAACCTCTGCTCCAAGCCAACACCTTAGCGAGGCTGGTGCAGTGTGGTGGGCCCACTCCCACCCTCTGGAAAAGAAAAGTGGCCAAAAGCCGTGAGCTGGTGATAGGCCCCAGACGGGCAGGCGTTATGGAGGTGCCGTCACTGGCCATATCGGCCTGCGGGGTCCCTGGTGGGGAGAGGCACCCTCCCCACTCGTAGCAGCAGGGCTGTGAAGCAACACCATCCCCACTAGTGGGGACGCAGCTAGCTAGCCTAGACATGGGGACCACAGGTGGGCCATAGCCCTGCTGGAGCTCCCGGCCCCCCGGGGCAGAGAGGCTGTGCCCAGGTGAGGCCAGGCTCCCCACGCAACCTGCTGGGCCTGGGGTGGGATGCGGAGGCCCAGTGGAGCCAGGGGCCTGGCTGGAGCACAGGCCTCCCCCGCAGCAGAGCCAGGCAGGACAGGGAAGCACCAATTACAGGGCAGGGACCGCACAGCAGCCGCCCGGGGGTGGAGAGGAGGACCGGGGGACCCGGAGCCCTTCGGGGAAGGGCCCCGGCGATGCCGCAGGCGGGTATCGCGGAGGGAACCAGGCACTCGGGGGGTCGGGGGGCCCAGGACTCCGAGGAGGGGTGGCGAAGGGGACCCAGGCGCTCCGGGCGGGGCGAGGGGAGAATCACGCGTCCAAGGACGGCGGTGGCAAGGAGCGGCGGCCCTGCCGGAGCAGCGGCGAGGGGGGAGGCCCAGGCGCTTCGAGACCGCGGAGAGCTCGGGGCGGGGGGGGGGCGGGAGTTGGCCGCGGGGGGCCCGGGGGGGTCGTCCCGC